CCTTCAACGAGGCCCAACTCGTTCCTGATATCAGAACATATATACTGCCGGCTGTAAACGTTGATCTTCAGCCCTTCATATTTATCGATCAGGCCCTGTCTCTTGTACGACAACAAATCCTAAACAATCGCATTGTTTTTGTTGTTGTTGTTAATAATTCAAACTAAATTACTTATACATTATCAAATAAAAACAACTATTTCTCAACTATTAAAACAAATGAAATTAGATAACTTAAATTAAATAATTGCAACAAATGGAAGTTACCTCTCCAAAAGAGATGGCCTCCGGACCCGTGCCTTCAGTCGCTGCGGCCCGCCATACCCGTTACGGAAGCCGTTGAGTCGTCGGCCGCAATAGCCGCTGTTAGGGCACCCGCTTGGCCGACCGCCTCAAGAAAAGCTTGATTCGTGAAATCTTCAGAATCTCTTAAGAAGGCCATGACGTCGTTCTCGTTCATCATTTTTGGTTCTTTTTTTCTCTTAATTTCTAGTAGTTCTTTTACTTTTAACTATGCGAATTAATGTCGCAAGATGGAAGATGGAATTTTAAATTTTTCGCCCCTCTTTCTTTTTTGTTTTCTTCTCCTGAGAGGTGCAACTGTAGCGTATATGCAACGTTTTGCTTTCTTTTTTTCTTTTTGTTTTAAATAATAAACTATACGACAAAATATGCGAAATAACAGCTGTCGAGTAATGTTCGAGTAACAAGCGCCATACTTTCGCAACTCCGATGCATTTTTAATAAACAAAATAAATATAATGGTTTAGTTTCCGTATCGCTATCGCAGTTTAATACCCTGCGGTAGACCTGCGAATTAACACATATTCGTCGTGAGACGGTCGCATAAAGAATCGCATTTATCAGACCATTTCAAACACAAAATATCCTGCGGTTGACCTGCGAATGAATTATGCGCCGTTTATTTGTCGAAATTATGTGTGTCGCAGAATAGAAAATTTCTAAAAATAATTTTTGTTTAAATAAATTCTTCGATTGTACTACGAATGTTGTGCGGTTTGTATGCGAAATTGTTTCGACTAATTGTCGCAGGTTCATTAGCCTAAACTGTTGAATTTTCCAAAAATAAATTCTACAAAAAAAAAAAAAACTTAAATATGCGACGTTTGTATTTCGGAGAATAGAAAATTTCAAAAACAATTTTTTTTAAAAAGATTATTCTTCGATTATACTACGTGTTATGCGTTTGTTGTGCGTAATATTTTCGACTAATAGTCTCAGATTCATTTCGCCTAAACATGAATTTTCAAAAAAATAAATTCTAAAAAAAATTATTATGCAACAACTAGGCGAATAATACGCGACGTTTGTATTTCGCAGAATAGAAAATTACCAAAAAGAAATTAAAAAAAAAAATAAATTATTCTTCATTTATACTACATGAGTGTTTCGCAATGTGTGTCGCAGAATAGAAAATTTCCAAAAATATATTTTTTTTTCTTATTATGCACCAACTAGGCGAATAATATGCGAAGTTTGTATTTCGCAGAATAAAAGATCGAACAGAAATCCATACACTACTGCTCTTACAGTCACTTCAACCCCAGCCGATTACAAAGTTTAAAAAAAAAATCGAAGGACCAGCCTAACAAAAGCTAGAACGAGGGAGCCGACGAGCTACCACAGCACTCAGACTCCAGAAAGAGAAGTTGTAGGTGGAGCTTGTTTGTGGAGTTCTATGTAGAACTCCAGCATAATATCGGCCATGACCACCACGCTCTCAACCGATGGGCTCTGACGGGTTCGAGGAAAAACTCCTTCGATACCAACCACCTTCCTCTGTCAGGAAAACCTGGCCGACCACAACCTCGAGAGGTTGAGACCAGCATTGCCTCTGACAGAGGGCCGGGCAGTTACGCCCCGGCCGCCGACGCGCGTCATTCCGACCTTCAACTTTCTCACAGTTGATCCGGCAATACCCGGGACCCGGAGGTTTGATCTTCATCGTTGCTGTCTCGGCATATATGTTTCCTGCCGGGGCCACGTTAATAAAGTTGGATAGCGAAATTTTCACTCGTTGAATTTTTCCTCCGACGAATTCAGAAGGTTAGGAGTTCTCAATTCGGACACAATAATCTTAAAGAATTGCCTCACGGGTCGAAAGAAAGAAGTTTTGTAACTCTGGTTTATCTCCGGCGAACTGCTTCTCATATACATGAAAAGGGAAAAACGGAGGGCCATTAACAAAGAGTTATGGGGGACAGATGGGTAGTAAGAGAAGTGGCATGATATGGATCGAAGATTACACGCTTTATATAGATGGATGAAACGATTCGCGTGCACGCTTTTGCTGCCCAAGCGTTTCGAAAAGCGGATAAGACGCCTCGAAATCGGCCGTAACATTCCAACTGCCAGCGGTTTCTAAACCATTCAAAAATTTAAATTTTAAAAATAAACTTTCGATGAAAGATGAAAGATGAAAGATGAAAGAAATAAAAAATAAACTTTCGAGTAGAAGCGCGAAGGGGGTATGCGAGAAATATGCGGTAATTCGCATACCCCATCGCATAACTGAAATAACAGAAAGATGAAAGAAATAAAAAATAAATTTTCGAGTAGAAGTGCGAAGGTGGTATGCGAGCAATATGCGGCAATTCGCATACACCATCTCATAACTGAAATAACTGAAAGATGAAAGAAATAAAAAATAAACTTTCGAATAGAAGTGCGAAGGTGGTATGCGAGCAATATGCAGCAATTCGCATACCCCATCGCATAACTGAAATAACTGAAAGATGAAAGAAATAAAAAAAATAAATAAAAAATACACTTTCGAGTAGAAGTGCGAATGGGGTATGCGAGCAATATGCGGCAATTCGCATACCGTCTCGCATAACTGAAAGATGAAAGGAATACGAAAAAAACTTATTATGCACCAATTCTGCGAATAATATGCGACGTTGGTATGTCGCAGAATAATTTTTTCGACTAATAGTCGCAGTTCATTCGCCTAACAAAAATAATTATTTAATGGGCGACGGACTGCGATTGACCGAATCGTACATCGAATCTCCGCATATTCGTCGCATACTTTAACTCATAATTTTCACGCCCATGCTCATACCGGTCGTCTATCTATCGTATAGTTTTTCACATATCTCTTCGTACTTTCTGGGGTGAAAAACTTAACTTTTTATTGGGTGGTGTGAAAAACTTAGCAGAACTTCAAAATGGGGTGAATTTTCTCAATCTTATATGTCTCATTCTTATACTATTTTTGATCAAACAAAATGAAGTTAACAAATAAAATAAGAAAATAGTGACTTTGAATAGAAAAATAGAGTTTTATAAATAATTTCTACTAACTGTAAAAGCCATTGTGGCATATAAAATAAAGGAACATACTACTGTCTCGTTACGAAACTATTTTGTTGGGTTTGTAATCGTTAGATCATCATGTAATCGTCGGGGATAGTTGATTTAACGATAACAAACTCTGACAGAATGGTTCAAATAAAGAGAGATGCTACATTCTCGTTACGAAACTTCTCATCGGGATTAGTAACCGTTAGATCATTATGTAACAGGAAATAGTTGATCTAAGGGTTAAAACCCCGACAGAATGGTTCCGTAACAAGACCGTAACATTTCTCTAAAATAAAACTGACATTTCATAGAAAGTTTACTGTAACTAAAACTTACTAAATTGTTACTTTTTGCTTTCCTATTGTTTAAATCGTGTTGGCTTTCATCAATTCGCAACAAAGCTTCTTCTCGGGCGATCGCATCTCATTCCATTGCCTTCCGCACGCACACCTGCAAACGGTATATATATTTCTTCAATTTGGTGGGCGTGGTTAACCTTTTAGTATTTTCATTCTGTATTCGTGAATAGACTTTTGCCAAATTCAAAGTAGACGAAGCTGCAGACAGTGGATATTATTTTTTATTTATTTCTCACATAAATTTATACTATAAAATTTGAAGTATTTTCTTTTATAAAGTTCGCAATTTCATTCCAATTCGTTTGTGTGCTGTGATCAGTTTGACTCTGGTGAATTGTGAGGTTGGTTATGGAGTGGAGGGAGTCTTCGTAGAGCCATATATTTAATCTATTTGGTGTGAATTGATCTATTATGATCCTTGATTTATGTATGCCGGCCAATTCAATTTTTCTCTTTGCACATAGCAAAATTC